GCATTCCGCTATTCAGTTTTTTTTTCTTGTTTTTCCCTCTCTGTCTGTCTGTCTGTCTGTCTGTCTGTCTGTCTGTCTGTCTGTCTGTCTGTCTGTCTTCCACCTGCCCCACTTCCATGCAGGCCCGTCCTTTCTCACACCACTTAGCCAGAAAAAAAAAAAAAAATCACCTAAATATTGTCGGCCTTTTGTTTTGCACATTGAAACTCTTGTTCTAGTCTTTCAAGGCCTCTCTGTCTGCATCTTGCTTGGAAAATTACACCTTTTGTGCTATCTTTCAAAGCCTCTTGCTCTCTTCTCTCTCCCAGTAAATACAGTAGCGATGCGTTTCTGCTTTCCTAAATCATACTCCTCCTTATTCCCTATTTATTATTTCGCTCCTGCATCCTGCCTCCCCGGCTCCCCTGCATCTGTATGTTATGCCTCATCCGAGCATCTTATTACATCTTGTGCCTCTCCTCCTCTCTCTCTCTCTCCCCTCGCTGTCCTTCTTATTTGTATCCTGCCTATTTCTATCTTTCTCACCCTCTCGCCAGCACCCTCTTATTCATTTGGCATCCGTCCCTCCCTCCCGCTTCTCCTCTGCGCTCGCTTTCGCCTCAGATATATTCGCGTGTACACATTAAAAAATCTCTTTTCCGAGCCTTCGTATCTCCTCCTCCGTTATTAAACTCCCTGTCTCACATGTAGAATATTTCTTCTTTTCTTTTTTTCACCCTGATTTAAAATGAAGTGGACTCATTTCCGCTCTCCAGTTTTGTTTTTTCCCCCCCTCCAAAAAAATCGCTCAGCATTCCCCCAGAGAGACGACAGCATTGTTCATTTTGTTTGTCTGTGACTCACCTGCAATATTTCAGACAGCACTTACTACATTTTGACAGTCTTAGGGAAATGATGCATTGCACTCTAAAATTTCAATTTGCCCAAGGGAGGCAGACATAATTACAGGTCAGCACCAGTAACATGTTGGCTAATTACCGGCCCAAAGGTCTCCCTGCATCATTTATCGGTGTTGCCTCATGGTATATCCCCTCCACCTTTCCTCCTGCATCCTTTCCTTTTTGCATATTGTCCCTCTTAAGTACGTCTTTTTTAAGCTCTTCACTCTCATCTCGCACGCCTCCTCGCTTTTTTTTGACTTTCATTCTTGGTTCTTACACTCCTGTTATCTAACATTGTGTTTGCATTTCTCCTCAATCCTTCCTCCTCCTCATCCGCCTCCTTCTCAGCTGCTCTTTGTCTCTCAGTTTGGCTTGTACGGTGGGTATGCAGGCGTACATATTTGTGTGTCTGTGTGCGTGGGTGCATCTGTGTGTGTGTTTTCCTGAATGCTGGCTGCCCGGCTACCAGCGAGGCCGCTCACCGGGATGTTGTCTTCGTGGTGATCTCGGGTCTCTCGGCAGACTCGCTGATCATCGGATAGCTAATCAGCCACCTCTTTGTTTACCTCTGATAATTAACTGCAGCTAATTAAGAGCCGGCACATACCAATTCATCTGGCTGCCGAAGCGCTAGGGTTACTCGCTGATTGCCTCTGCTTTGCTTTTAAAATTGCTCCACCTAGTCATTAACTTTGCTCTCGATTGCCTCAGGAAAGCTGAAGGAAAATCATTTGTGCCAGAAAAGAAAAAAGAAAAAAAAAAAGAAAAACAAGATCACGAGAGAACTTCTTCACATGCAAACTACTAAAGGGAAGGACGGTTATAACTATCTTTACCAAGTCTCTATTTCATAAGAGGAGGTAGACCTGCGCATTGCTAATTACAGGAAACACTTCACGTCCATTGTTTGCGAAAGAAAGAACTCGTAGGTTGAGGAACAACTCCTGCAGAGGAGCCGCATCAACTAACAATGGAGGGAAAAAAAACCCAAAGAGGCCAGTGTAGTGAAGCTCACAGTGGACCGAGCGCCGCTGGGCTGCTCCCTAGTTCACACCAACACAAGTCCACTTATGTAAATAGATGGCGGGGTGTTGTTTGGGGATGTGAACGCGATGACAGTCTGTCATTAAGCCTCTCATTTGTATTCACAGCAAAGGGACCAAACACTTCTCGTTTAATGGTTACGCCGGAGAGCGTGAAGGAAGAAAGTGTCTCAGGTTGAGGTGGACTTAAGCAGATGGTATAAGAACACATCAAAGCAAACTCCTGGAGCAGGTAATAAGAACGTGGACTACATCATCTGCTGAGGTTGATATCGTCGTTATTATTATTCATAGATTTTACAGAAAAAGGACTCGTCTTTGTTTTGATTTGTCTTTTCAGGATCATGGAAAGTGCACGTCCATGACATCATCTAATTACTTTGGTTGAAACGCTCAGAAAAAAACCAAATTATGGACAGTGAAGTTCCCATGCCTACATGAAACGGCTCTCCCTATCATTTTCCTATATCTTATTTTCATGCCGCAGAACAGGCTCGGTGCAAATTCCGTCAGGATTTGAGGTCGAAAGGGTTATGTTTATGTGTGTGTGTGCGTTTGCGTGTGTGTCTGCGTGGACGTGCAACCCTGCAGAGGTCCGATGCATGCGTGTTTGGGTCTGTCTGTCTGTCTGTCTGTCTGTTATATAAAAAAATGCATCTATCTGGGGCCGAGCTGCAGCTTTGTTCTACTTCATCTTTCTATTTGCTCATTCAGAAATTCAGGTTGGTATGAAATTAAAGGTCTTTTCATTTGGCTCCTGATAGAGTTTTGACATAAATGTCGGCGTGGTGAAAGCTTTTCCACAACAAATTTTGATTGCAATGCAAATGACAATTATGTCGGCGGTCCCTCTCACCCTCTTATCTTCCCACCAAGGCAGAAAAAACAATTGGAGTCTAAAAAATTGATCCACCGGGATGAGCGCTCTTCATGAATACAAAACACATTATTGTGGATGACCTGCTTGACACCAAATAGCACACAATTACCATGTATATATGCCTTTCTGTATTTGCACTGTTAGATCTGAAAATGGTTTGTCAGTTTGGACAGAATTTAAAAAATGCAGATTGCAGAAACTATGAATACTCACAGCTACTGAACACAGACGGTGTTGTCTGTAATAGAGACAAAAGGACTCCTCGAGTCTGGAACTTTTGCTGCTGAAAGTAAATAATAAAAAGAGTTTATATAAACCGCTTAACGAAATGGTGGTGTGGGTGTCTGGTAGAGGTGACTGTGCATGGATGAAGGACAACAGAGCACAGAATGGGGCCTGCGTTAACAGGAGATGCAAACAGATACTGGTGGTTGCTTCAGCCTGCTCGGAGCACCAGGTGAGAGGGATGGAGCTGCACTGTGACAATTAAACTGTCAACTTTCCACCTGACACTTTAATTATCTTGTGAAACTGTCAGCTGCAGCCTTATAAAATGTCATATTTTCTCATGGCTAAACCTGTCTGTATCAGACCCATTTAAAAGAAAACATAAAATCTTGAAAGGTTCACCTCAGGGCTGAATAGAGCTTAGTATCCTGTAAAAAAAAAAAAAAAAGGCACTAGTTAATTTCACTCATCTGCCCTTCTTTTCTGTAAAAAGGGATATTTTTCAGATTAAGTGTTACGTCTAATTACATCAGACGAGCACCCTGACTGTTCCCTTCACTGCTTTCTTAACATGGATTAAACCCCTGCTCAGCTTATCTGATCTCATCCTCTGGTCTCATCCGAGTCCCGAAACTGAATCAATCCTCCAAACTCAATTACCTGATTGAATTCATTACCCTGAACAGCTGCCCTGCTTTTTTTTTTCTCTCTCTCACCTTTAGTTTTCTGCTGTTTACTGTGATAGCTTTGAAAGTTGTTGTGCTGCTAAGCAGGCATAGCAAATAGTGCTATGTCAAGCAGAAGCAGGCTAGAAAACCCCCTCTGGCAACACGGCTCAGCACGCTGAACAAGCAGCTCGCGGTCCAGATTATCCATGTCAATGGAACAGAAAATGAGAATCAGGATTTGCAATGTATCTGACAGCAACGAGGTTACATGCTTCCAGTTGGAGCTGCAGTCCTTGTATCTGACCATCTAGATCTTGTGTGATTTCCAAAGGCTTGAAAATCCTTCGTCGTCGTTAGATTCTCCTCAAATGTTAATATTACAAACGTACGCTTTCTCTGGGACACTAATATCTGTCATAATAAAAAAAAAAAGCATGTGTGATAAAAACGCCAGCTTCAGTTGAATAAATCACTACACAAACACACCAGAGGTTGCCCAACCGGTACTCCAACATGGGCGGTGCACTTCAAGTGACAGATAAGAGCTCAGGAGCAACAGCTTGACAATTGACGCCATTCAGTGGCGACAAAACAGCTGGAAGAGCTAAAGATAGCAAAATATCATAATGTTTTGGCACCTGTAATGTACAGAATGTGTTAAAGAGGTGGCTGGATGTTCTTGTCCGGTCACATGTTATCGTTCATGTTCACAGAAAAGTTTGAATAATTAATAAGTGTTACTTGCAACATACTGAAGGCAGTGATTATAACCATCCCTCAAGACTGACCTGTTTCTCTGTCTGGAGCTGTTATAATTATGTAGGCGACGTTTTAAAGCTAGAATACCAAAGTTATCATGAAATCTGAAAAGTGTGACGTTTAATTACACAACTGCATGATAAAGCTGCTGCACAACTCTCAGCTGAAGGGATCAAGAGTGTGAGGCTGCAGAATTGTGACAGAAATGACAGTGAATGTTGTGCTGCGCGATCTCCAGACACCTCGGAGTTGTAATAATATGCACAGCGCATAAACACGCAGCGGATTCGGAGGGACCTGCTGGAGCTCGTTCTCTCGGACAGCCCTCTGATTGGTCACCTCTGCTGAAGAGGGCGTGGCTTTCAACTGTGGGCGTTTCACAAAACCAGCCTCCACGCAGCTCGAGCTTTCATTCACTACGGACTTGTCGAGTTAACTTCATCTCTGCAGTTTCTGTGTGGTTGTTTTTTTTTATTATTATTATTCCTCCGCGAACCGAACAGCTTCTCACTCGGATCCGCTTCGTGCGTAAAAGTGCTTTTTGCGCGCGCAGCCTTCAGGAGCTCTTTTGCGTGAACTTACTTCATTTTTTATTTTTTTCATTTTTCTTTTTTCTTTTTGCACAACCTGCCTGAGTTGTGCCTCCTCTCTCTGCACGCCTCCACTCCTCTCCACCATGGATTTGGTTTGGATTGTGGGCTTCGTTGTGAGCGTCTGCGCTTGGTTTGCTTCAGCGGAGCGACACAGTGTCTACTGGAACAGCACGAACCCAAAGTAAATATCTGTTCTGATTTTCACTTGATCCCATCCTCACACTCATGCAAAACACTTCAATCTTCTGGCATGAAATATAGATAAACTTTTAACTGGTTCCTTCATAATCCATATGACTTGTATCCAGATGCATGTGAGCGCTTGCAGCTCATGCATATTCAGGGCGCTTGTTGTGATGAATTTGTGATGGAAGCAACTGGCTGCTGTTGTCATGATAATGCAAGACTGTTGGGAGTCTCCTTTCCTCCCTCCTCCTCCTCCTCCTTCCTTCCTCTCCTTCTGAGCTGTTGTTATTGTGCCCTTTACCTGTAATTCTTTGTCCAACCTGTTCGGATTTAATCCATTTGCGCAATGTGCTGCAGGATTAGTTGCATCAGGTTATGTCATCTATCTACCTTTGTGATTTGTGACAGTGATGCAGTTAAACGTACTTTAGAAGTGACAGAAAGCTGCTTTAAATGTAAATGGAAGGCTTTCATGGACAGAGAACAGCAGGTATCTAAGGTAACTGCTTCCTTTTGGAGACTTGAGCCATGAAACTACTCAAAATGCATCTATTTTTTTTTGGACTGTATGTGCCGCATAGGGAGTTCATTTATTTGCAAAAAAAAAAAAGTCTTCACTAGTTTGAGCTGAAATCCTATAGGGGAGTGCTGAAATTATTCCCTTGCAAGGTTTCTATTTTCTGTGTTGATTTTACAGGCTTGACTCACAGCAGAACGTGTTGAAATATCTGTTGCAATATCCTCCCCATCTGACAGCGAGCCCTAACCTTTGTGTGCAGTGGGAGGTTGCTGCATCTCCTAAATCAAGAGATATCACACAGGTTTTTTTTTCTTTCCTTCTGTCAGGGAGACGTAGGGGTGTTCATATTTCAGGGTGTAAGACGAGTAATAATGGTGTATGACAGAGACAGAGGAGGTAACTTGAGGCCTGCCCAGTAGGTCACACTGTGGGAGAGAGATGGATTGCTCAGGGAGGAGAAACCAGAGCCCGAATTGTCGGGGTTGCAAGGGGCCAGCTCGCAATGAGTGGGGGGTCAATTAGAACGATGGTTGATGAGGGTGAGGTTCAAGCCTTCTGCACGCACCTTTCGCTCAAACACACCCACACTGGCTCACATGCACGGGCAAGCACCAACACAGACTCCCGGCAGACAGTCACTCAATCACAGCAACAGACGCCATGTAAATCAATCAATGCAGGGCTCACACTCTCTCTCTCTCTATCCGCTGTGCAAACACATACATCCAAATGTTGCCCCACAAGCCTCCATCGAGCCACTTTCTCCCTCTTTATCTCCCCTGTGGTTAAAAGCTACAGCATTTACTGTTCTCAGAAAGTCCATAATTACAGTGACAAAGCCTCGCACTGAAAATCCAAAGTGAAGTCGAGGGCCCCAGATGGAAAAAAAGGGCCGTTCTCGTCGTGTCCCCGCTGTGGAGCGACAATGATCATTTCTGTATATATACTGGTAATCCGTCCTTTTTCACTTGCTAGTTTGTTTTTTTTTCTCTCCCCCTAGATGACTGTGCTAAATCTCTCCCTTCGGCTACTCTTAATCCCATATTCACAGAAAAAGTCTGAGTCTCTGAGATGTTTTCATTTGGTACTTTTCATCAGTCGCCGCAATCTCCTCTCCCCTTTGACCCGTTACTTGATACAGTATGTCGGCGTCCATCTCTCCCCCCTCATGAGATGTTGGTTTATTGTTTTAACCCATTGGTGTGGAGGCTATCATTAATCAAATTGGTCACAGATTGATCATTTTGGAGTGTTTGTCGAGGGATTTAGCAACACACACACACACACACACACACACACACACACACACACAGCGCTCATACATATACATGCGCTCTTTCTGACTGCAGCATGTGTGCTAGCCTTGGGGCCTGCTGACTCCCAAGGTCTGCCTTTGCTTCAACTCTGTTCCGGCACGAGTGAAATCCATTTCAGCACTTTCACTTGTTGGAATATTTCCACTCTTTGTTCCTGATCAGTAGCAGTTTAATCACCAGCAAGGTTTGATTCCCAGAAAGAGGCTCACCAGCTTGACAATGTGTTTTCTTTTTTAGTGAAGGGAGTGTCTGTGCATAAGCTTACTCACACGTAGTGCATCGCCACACTCCAGTGACTCACACACTCTCGTACACATTAACTCCACACACACACACACACACACACACACACATGTGAGTGACATGCAGTTGTGCCTGATGTTAACATCGTCCCCGGAGCTCTGGACTCCAGCGTGAGGAAATAATCCAGCTCTTTCACTGCTTCATTCTTCCCTTTTTTCCCCCTTTTTTTTTCTCCCTGCTGACAGAGCACGAGTAAGACCACCGCCACCCTCCACCCTCCTCCTCCTCTGCTTTGTACCTGTCTCTCCCTCTCTCCAGCACCTCCCTCCCCCTCTTCTTGGCCAGGTTCCCTTTTTCAGCTCGGTTCTGTGGTCTCCAGTTCTGGGAGTCTGTTAACTGTTTCGTGGCTCGCTCGTACACATCTGCGTGTTCTACTATCAAACACATTATCTGATCTCAGTCTATCCCAAGTCTTATTTGCTGGTTGTTTCAGCTCATCACTGATTTAATTCATCCAACTGGGAGTTATTTAAGGTATGTTTCCCCCCCCCACATGAAGGATTTTCTTGGTTTTTATCCAGTCAATGTGGCTGTTTTGTGATGCTCCCCATACAAATTGGGGGAATGGTCTTCACGGTGGGCCACAGAAAGAGAATAGTAACTGGTGTGACTGATCAAGGGTTAGAGTTCACTATGTGATGAAGTGGCACGGCCTCTATCAATCTGTCAGTCACTCTGTCACGGCGGTGGTCCCTGAATACTGGCTGCCACTCAGGCCGGCCTCTCTTCACACAGCCGTGGCTCTGCCTCTGGGAAACTCTCATTCTTTCCCCCTCCTCTCTCTCCTGTCTTTTCGGTCCCCTTTCGCTCCTTCACCAGCTTTTTATCTCAACTTTACAAGCTGTCCCTTTTCAGTCTATTATTTCCTCACCTCCAGCTCTGGTTCTCAGAGTAGGGGGAAAAGGAGGGAAGCATGCTAAGAGGTGTGGAATTTTTTTATCGTTCTTGGCACCCATGGCGATCCGTCACAAGGCACTTTGCCCTTTCCTTCACGCTTTCTCCCCCTTCGCTCTTTCTCCTTTTAAAGCGTTCTTGTTCTACCTCCTTCCCAGCAAAACAGGTTCTTTTTTTTTTTCTTTTTTTTTGCAGCCTTCCTGGTCTTTTCACTTGCTCATGTGTGCGTATCCACTCATGAGCGTCTTGCCGAAGCAGCCTGAGAACTGAGGTCATTAAAGGAATTAAATGAAAGGAAGAGAAAAACAAATGTAGAACAAGACTTGGTTAAAATAAAAAAAAGGGGGGAGGCCTTCCATGTACGTGCTTGCATGCGAGTTTGAGAGATGAAAGATAAGATCGGGCCGGCATCATCATCATCGGCTGTGATTAGGTGGCTGCAATAGATAAGGGATTTCTGCAGTTTTCAAGTAATCTGAACCAAAGCTACTTTTCTCGGAAAAACATCCAGGTTTCCCACTTCACTGTCTAATCCAGCCTTGGCCCTAAACCCTACTGCATACCCTCCCCCCCCTCTCCCCATCATGGGTTGGTATTCTCTTCAGAAAACTCCTAAGTCCATCTTTCTCTGGAATCGTCTCTCCCCTCCCCTCCCACCACTCTTAATCTGGCCTTGTAATCTGTCTGGTGAATTCAATCTGGGGGGAAAATACTCTGAGAGATTGTCAGACGGATGGTAATCGCCTCTTATACACTCAGCGATCACTGAAATGTGTTGGCGTCTCCCATCTTTATCTGTAATCATGACCTCTGTGCTGATATCGACAAGTTTTCTGTTTTGTTTTGCTTTGACCCCAAAAGCTGATTTTCCTCCTCTTCAATATTCCCACTTGTTCTCGCAAGAAGGGCTTGTTTTATTGACTGTGGTAGATAGTGAATCAGGTCAAAGGTTTTAACTTCCCGCAGGCGTGTTGTCGGCATTACCAAAGTCTGCACGCTGTCTGCTGTGTGTCTCCTGCGAAGTGCTGCACTTCCTGGTTGGGTCTTTTCCCGGGAAAACTGCGTATCCTGTCCACACAATAAACAATACATTTCTCACACACTAACACACGCAAGACCGTAAAATACGCCTGGAGCTGATTGAACTTCCCAGGCTCGTACGAGAAGACTTTAAAAGGGTGAGAACGCCGAGATTAATCGTGATTGTTTTATGAGGGATGTGTTGGACTTCGGAGCCTTGAGGATGATTTGGGATCCGCTTACAATGCCTGCCCTGCTGTCAAATCTCTTTATGTCTCTATTTGGGATTCTCCTCTGATCAGTGTCACCCCCGATCAACCCCTCCAGTTGCCCCCTCTTGCCCGTCCTCGAGCCTCTTCCTTATCTACGCTCCAGACTTCCCCTGCTCCCTCCCACTGTGCTGCTCCACTCTGCACTGCTTCACAAGGGTTCACAAATCATAGCGGAAGAAAAGCTCCATTAGTGCACAGATTTGTGATTACAATTTTCGAGCGGTGTGTGTATGTGCGTCCCCCAGACTTGTTTGTCAATTCTTGGTGACACCGGCAGTGTATCTGTGTTTGAACGAGGAAGAATTAGCCAACAAGAGTCAGATGGTATCTGTGCAGTGAACCATTGTGCTTGTTTTGTTGTGTAAATATGCACTATTGTGTAACTATTGTTTTTCTCTTGCCTTTTTGTGCTGTTTGCTGAGAATCAAAATTCAGCGTGTAAACACAGCAAGCACCGCTGCCCCTAGAGGTCAGCTGTGTCACTACCATTACTACCACTGGATGTCTGTAAGCGAGCGCTACCGCTAATAAATTTTAAAAACTCTTTGTAACAACTCTGCCCTGTACTCACATACTGTAAGTTCCCAGAGGAATTCATTAAGCTAGAAGCTCAGATTGTGTTAGCAGGGTGAGGAAGAAAAAAAAAGAAAAAAAAACTCTGAGCATGAAA